CGTCTAGCAAACCTGATTTATCTTTTGAATGTGTGAAGAAATGCATAAAATCATTTCAACGAATGCTAATGACTCCTCTAAAGAGCAGCCCCAAATCAGAAAATGTTGTTTACGAAGCATCCGAAATATCATATCCTGCATGCGATGAATGTTATGAATATCAATATAATCAACATAGTTCACCATTTTACTGTCAACCTTGTAATACAAAAAGATTTCGTATGGAATTTGATAAATGGTCTACTGGAAATGATAAACTTGATCAATTAATTCAAAAAACGCATATTAAATCAAAAAATGCCTTTGAATTATTGGAATGGATTCCTTATTCAAGTTTAAAGGATATTAATCGCATAGCTCAAGGTGGATTCGCCACTGATTATTCAGCTATTTGGCCTGATGGTCCCATGCAACGGTTTGATCTCAATAAACGGCAATGGTCTCGGGCTGGCGTTACTAAAGTTGTTTTTAAAGAATTTTACAATTCAAAAGATTCAAGTTTTCAGTTCCTTGAAGAGGTAATTCTTCTGAATAATGGTTTATAATAATAATGGTCTAATAAATTTGAATTATAAATGTTATAATTATTAAATTAGACTCGAGCTTATCTTAGAGTTGGTGGCAACAAACCAATTACCACAAGAATCTATGGAATTTCTCAGAATCCGAAATCAAAAAATTATGGGATAGTTATGAGAAGTGAGGGCCTTGGAAGTTTAAGACATGTTTTAAATGATACTTTTCATGAGAAAAGTTGGGATGGAAGACTTGATATTCTATTTGGAATTTCTTTTTGTCTTTCCCAACTTCATAATGTAAATATAATTCATAAAAATCTTCATAGTGGCAACATTTTATTTGATCGATATTTCGGCATTACAATTAGTGATTTAGGATTATGTAAACCCCTGGATAATGAAAATTCGAAGGATATTTATGGTGTAATTCCTTATATTGCACCTGAAGTCTTTTCCGATGCATCTTATTCACTCGCATCTGATGTTTACAGTTTTGGAATAATCGCTTCAGAGGTGGTTTCTGGTAATCCTCCATTTTATAATAAAGCCTATGATCATGGTTTAGTATTTGACA